AGTCCACAGTCTGCAAAAAATGACTACGTATATAACATTAATATTTCCCTTTAATTTCGATACGCTCAAAAATTCGAATATATTTTATTAGAAGGCATGCTCGAACGAACTTTGTCCTGCTCCAGCTTAGTAGCCATTTACTTCTTCTCGCATTCTATACTTGTAAAATGGGCTACTTTCGGTTTTGGGAAGCTTTTGAGATTCCCGAGTAGCTTTGAATCCCACCTGCTGTAACACATTGATTCTAGGTGCGCAAACAACCAAATGCATGATTTTATGTATGAAAATGCAAAGATGTTTATTTGTTATTAAGACGTTTTCATAAAATGCTCATACTTCCGTCATTCCTTTATATAGGGAGTTAAAGACGACGTAGTTGGCTAACAAAAATACTTTACGTATGCTTCCTACAAAATTACTCGAATTGATAGTAGTATTTAACATCAATGTGAAAATTCGTACCACATATGCAGTCATTTACGGAAATTATCTTTTGTAAACAGCCAAAAAGAATCCTGTTTAAAAGCTGACCTACTACCAGGGCTAATAGGTCATTGCATTATTCTGCCCAATAAATAATATTGCGACTCCGCCGAAGTAAAATGTTGGAGTCAGAAATACATTTCAGAACTGACTTATAAAAACTCCCGTGGAAGTTAATGCCTCAGCTGGAGGTAAAGTCTTTTGGCCCTATCAAGCACGGCGCATGAGCTGATATGAGTACAGTACGTGACCTATCTCATGAAATCTGATAACGAGAACTGATGAGAGAATTTTTGGACAGCTCCAGCGTGGCGAACTTTGTTCGCTCACCCACATACTTTACTGAAATGTCCTTTTCTTGTTCAGAAATTGTGTTTGCGTAATTATATCAAGTGAAATATCAGCAAATTTTAGCGAAAATAGACGTTGAAATATTTTCGGGCGATCTCCTATGCTAATTCATGTCCTAGACTCCAGTAAAGCATCTGAGCGACTTCCTCATTGAAAGGAGAGTAATTTATTCGCGAGAATTTTAATAAACAGATTTAGCCGGACAATAAATTTTATTACATTTCCGATGTTGACCGTTTGGAAAATTCTTTCTGATGTCACAAAAATGACCAACATGGAATGTTCTTTTCAAGCTTTAAGCATATGACACATTACTTTTTTAATAATTTAGCTTCTGCGCATACTTTATTCAGAAATAGAACAAGCAAAACATTTTAGTTTCATCAAAATATCAGTATTTGTTTGGGCGCGCTGTAGTGTATTCATAATCGAATCGAGCAAAAACAGTGGAAATGGCCGAACGTATGGAGGTACGCATGTTCTTACGTTTACGGTAAAAAAGCATGTATAATTTAGAGAAACGGCCAAAGTGCCCAATTTTTATTTGGCCTCACGGTGCAAAAATGCAAAGTACACAGAAATCCGTCGACGAAGAGCAATAATAAACACTTCTTAAATAGGTTACTTATGAAAGAAAGTTTTCTTATTGATCGAAGGCACATCCGTTGGTGACTTTCGTTGTGGACAGTCATTTTTGTCGAAAATGAAGTTTGATGTTTGAATCAGTCTACAAATGTGACCCAAACAACTATCGTTGTGAAAAGGAGTGCCTGAACACTCAGTAATTCGGCAAATGCCTTCAAGAACAATCTTATTTTAAAGTTCTCAACAGACAGGTAATTCAGAATCTGTCTTTTTAGGCGATCGGGTTAAAACACTGAAAATCATGAAATATTCAGCAATATTTCAAGGCCGATCTGAAACTAAACGTAATCCAAAACGAAAGAAAAGTACAAATTAATTTAAGGGGAGAAATGTTCTCTCTAAAAACACAAAATGGTATGTTTACGATCACGCCTGTCAGTCATATTTGCATTTATTAGGCACCGACCGGCCCATAGCATGTCACCTTATAAAAACTATTGTTCCTACGACGTCCCCATCGGCGAAATGAAGCAAAATCCAGCTTCTCTTGTTAAACTTCATCTCATTTACTGCCAAATCGTTGATGAAATTATGAAACTCTGGAAAACTGTTTTGGAATCTACACCCAGAATGTGGGCGGTGTCAAACCGTCATATATGAAGTCACACTACCTATTAAACTACATTTATATGTAAACTTCACTGTAACGCTCCTAAGAGACGTAACTTTATGTCTACTTTCATACATACTACGTGTTTGGTATGCGAATACATCATATACATCTAAAAACGATCTTTACCTTATTAGAGCAATTTCTGACGTTTTCGGGATATTGCGCTTTTCAAAATAGATCGGCGTTTCTAAACAATGTAACACTGCCTATCATATTTCTTTTATGCTTTTAATTCTTTTAAACTTGTAATTAATTAACAAAGACTTTGTCTCATGAAATGGTGTCGGCTTGCGAGTGATTGACAATCATTCGTAAATTTCGACACCTTTCATGAATTAGGTCACACACTGTATTTAAGCTCGAATCCACCAGCTACTGCTAAATCAATAATGTACTTACACTCGTCCGCCGTGCCGTACTTTGTTTTAATACTGATTACAGGACGGGGAATTAATATTTTTTTGAATAATATCTGTTCGATTACTACTTAAGACTGCAAAGGTAAATTCTGATGGTAAAACCCACTAAATCCGCTTTAATTTATCATACAACTGCCGTTTCCGTGGTAGATTCAATGGTCATTTTTATCGAATGCACACTGGATAAATTTGCTTTGTGTAAGTGACGTACTTAAGATAAACTATGACTACAAAGATGTCAGATATGGCTAAAAAAATATACGTTTCACTCAAATTTACCTGGTTTCAACCTGTGGCACATAATTTCCCTAATGCAACTGCGGTTTGATCTAAATAAATATAATAAACTTCCATTTTACGCTCTTATGAAAAACCTGACGGTTTCGAACCCCCGACAACAGGGACATAGCTATTAATCCCTAAACGGAATGCCTCGCTGCCGTGGTTCAAATTTTAGCAAGGTCTTTGAGCCTTTCACAATTAGGTCGAATCAACCAAAGCACCTACTGCTGCATTGTCAGATAGCTTTGAACTTGGGTTTCTTGGTTTTGGATCATATTTTCCTTGGTTGATAAATTTCCGGGCGTATTATCGTTACCATCAGCATGATAGCCACCGGGACTAGCACATTATGCAGAAAGATGCAGTCAATGACCAAACCCCCGAAAGGTTAACTAAAATTCTGATTTTCTTTTCATTAAGAAAGATATCTTTAAGTATGTTCGCAGTAGTGATTACTGCATAACCCAATCACAAAGTACTACAGTTACCCGCGAATGCTGCTATTTGAACGAACTTCTTTTCAACCACCTATAAAATCTATAATTTACAAAGTTACTGCTTATGTAATATCAATATACTTCTTCATTTTTCGATACCCCAAAAGGTCAAATATCTTAGCAAAACCATGCATAAAGGTACCTTTTCTTGCTCAAAAATACCAGAGTCTACTTGAACTTCTATACCTGAGGAAAAGGCAACGTATAGTTTTTAAGATGATCTCGATTCCCAAATAATTTAAAACTGACCTGCTCTGGCACTTGCATTCAAGAGGTCAAAACTACAAACTACACATTTTCCTGTTAGAACATGTATAAACTCCACCTCCCCTATAAATTACATTTTACGGAAAACATGTTCAAAATATTTTTGTGCATACTCATGAATGATCACCTGCTTCCTTTTCCCTTTTTAAGTTTTGAACTGGTGTCTTCTAGTTTAGAGCCTGCAGCCATAATTAATTTTAAAACCGTGAGACGGAAATTCAAGCAGCATTGTACATGTCCCTTCACTAGTATTTATTTTGAAGCATACCACTCAGTTAACAATGACCGTAAACATGTATGAGACCTCTATAGAATCGACATAGTGGCACAAAAGAATGCATGACTTTCTTTAATGGAACGGTACATAGTGTATCCGCTTTGACATTCTGAAGGCAGGAATAAATACCTTTAAGCGTATCGGGGCTTTGAAATAGGATACATATGCTGGGTTGACTTACGTGAGCCCATCGCAGTTGTATGCGCATAACGGAGGGTGCCATCGCCCCATTTGTGTTGGATTTGATGCTGGACGAACAGCAATCTCCTCTGTTAGGACGGCCCAGAACACGACGCACGGTTCCAGTCGTCCGGGGGTCACGCCTGACAAAGAACCGCAAACTCGCCGGACAGTAAGCCCGCATGCGAGCCAGACATTTGCACGCCGCTGAGTCATGCGCGACCTCAAGGGGCCAGCAACACGCGAGCGCCTGCCCAGACGGGCGCTCAGGACTGGACCAGTTGGAACACGCAAACCAGACGAAGGCTGAACCCCTAAATACGAAGCCACGGACGGAAGGATTAAGAGTTGATGTACACAGGGTGACTGACGCAGTAAAGCTGTTCTCTCCTATCCTGTCTGTATTCTATTCCGCACAGAACTGGCGTCATACTAATTGGGGATATAACATCCTCAGATCTAGCTTACCTGTGACTTTCTTTAGTCGGCACAGGATAGTTCGGAATAAATCGATATTTCCTGTTAATATTGACAGTACCGGTCTCTATCTGTGTATGTTAATTCTGCCTTGTAGCTTAACATCTATAACCTACGCTGGCGGTGGCTTGGGGACTGGCAAGCACTAAGTGGCGAGTGCTTATCGACACCGAGACAGGAATGACCTTCATCGTTGCGTTTGTCGGTAAAAATAAGCTTTCCAGTTTTATGGCATGTTTAGTTACGCTCAAAGCATGTAGGAGCTGGACTGGGAGAAACTTCTCTCGGTTCAATAATAGAGAGAGAGAAATTTTTGCGAATATTTCCATGCGCCACTTAAAAAGGTAATTTGACGAACACACGTTATCGGTAACTCATTATCAGGCCAGTGCAGTAATAAGGAAATTGGAAGTATGAACCGTGAACGTCTCATACTTTGATTTCTGAGCAACGGCATTGGCTTGATGATGGTCGGTAGATGCTGATTTTTAACACGCAGCCAGGAATAATTATCTTAATTTGGCGTGTACTCTGTGTTTGCGGGGTTTTCCTGCGGGTTATAAAAAATTGAGGACAATATTATTATAGAAATAGACGCTTATCATATAATATAATATTTAACCACACTTCTTTTACGAGGCATGTTTTAATGTCTGAAAATGGTTTATCGAATGCTTAGCCTAAAATGTAATGTTGGCCAATAATTAATTAAATGAAGTCGACGGCCATCATTGCTAACGCCTCTACCGAAATCTATGGGAAACAAGCAATTGCATAGCCAAGTGGCATGATCACTTTCCTTTGTGTCCAAAAACAAAGACGTTTTAAAGATCCTGCTGACTGCCTTTATATTAATATATGTCCCTTCGCAGCTGTCTGATGTGCCATTGTTACATTATTATTAACGTGATTGTCGGACGGGCGGTCTGAATGTCTTCGACGTTAAGCAGGGTGTGTGAAGTGCTGAACCTTACGCGCTACCACGTTTGCAGTAAGTTAAGGCTGCGGTCGGTTGGTGCCGCAAATAAATAATCTATTCCCCTGATATACACTGATCTCCAGTCTGATCTACTGCCTTGCCTCTAATTCTACATTCAAATATACTCCTCAGCCTAAATGCAACCGTAGCCCTAACTATGAATACATCGGAATTTGGCGTACAGCCACCAGCTCGGGATTCCCATTCCCATGCCCTGCCGAAGGTCTCGGCAAATCGGTAGTTAGAGTTATTTAGTGCCGACCAAGGGTTCCTACTCGTTAATTGCATGTGTCATTGCTTTAACGTTTTTGAAGGTACAGTAACCATAGTGGTCTTGAATTGAAAGGAGAATGCTAATGCGTACACATTCGCAATTCAATTAACAACACAATAATATACGGTAAGTTGCACAACTAATTCCTTCCGAATTGTCTACCCCTGTATGGTATGTAAATATTTAACACGCGATAGGCACATTTAAATACAGAGAGTTCGATAGTTGAGTAACAAAGTAGCAATAATATTCATGTTTAATGAGCGTAAACTCTGCGTGCCTGTGATCAGCGGACAGGAGAAGGCGTATTCTACTTAAGTTACCAAAAGAATATTGTGGTGCTGGACAATTTAATTAGAAATGGATAATTTTGCAGAGGATAAACAATCCCATAGTGCTGTTCGAAGCTAAAAAAAGGTCAAAACGACTTGCGTGGACGAAGAACAATTTCCATTGACATATTTGCTGTCACGGCAAAAGCTCGCACACCGCCGTATAAACCCGCGTTCTCCTAAATCAAGAATTCTAGAAAACGAATTTTGCTACTTTAATAGCTGAGAACGCCAGCATAATGTAAAACTCGTTATACAGTTTCTAGATTAGTAACGAAATTAGTTCTGCAAGAGCTAGGAAAAAAATGCTTTTATCCATAAGCAACCGATACTTTTTACCCCATGTACTGACGACACGTTTGTTATCGCCAGGAAATACGCGTTGCAGGATGTCCATAATCTACGCAGGTCATACGCTTCGAGGCGAAAAACGGAGGGGTGCAATACATGTTCATAAATGATGTGCTCGTCATGTGGATTCTCAACGGCAAAATCGGGTCAACAGTTTGCAAAAAGCCATCGCACATCAAACAGCTTCTCATTTTTCACAAAAACTGTTCAGGAGTTCATAGCTGGCCCATTTTGAGAACAATCTTCCACACTGTCCCAACTCATTGTAGCAACCTGAAAGAAAACGTACTTGAAGCTCGATATCTGTGGGACCAGTTTGATTGGAGCGGATAACCGAGTGAGTGTATAAGCCGGTGCCTGCGTGTCTGTCGCTCAAGGTCACACAAAGAGACGACGTTTTTACTATGACATGTTCTGTCGTGCACGAAGGACGGTTTAGCAGCGACGAGGGGCATTGCTAATGGAGTTGGAGGTAGCACTTCACATCGAGCCATGCGCAACAGGATAATGGAAAGCCAGGAACGATCGAATCCCAGGGAACATTTGTGTGCAGCTTATCGTATTCCGTGCCAAAATTGTTCCTTTAATTACCCAGCTGGTGTTACACACATACATAAAATACAAGTTGGCTATGCGATGGAGTGACAAATCGTTAAAAGTGAGTGTGCACACGTAGGTAGAATTCTCTTCCACCAGGATAACTGACTACGTCAGATGCAAGAGAAACCGAAAATTCACAGGAACTTGTGGCTCGGGCAGGATCTCAGCCAGTAAACGCATCGGTCTGGCGACGACATGCAGAGTCCTGGAAAGCCACATCTTGACCAGCGATAGTGATCTGTGAGTTTGAAATCTGGAAAAAAATAAGCTGAATTCTCCGGCACTCGAACGGTCCTCTTCTATATCTATCATCCATACTAATGGAATTCTGACCTTCATCTCCATTCGTGAAAACTGTTATTGCTATGAGATAAAACGGTGACGTCTGTGATTTGGAAGCCAACGTACGCATAAAAATCTTGTATGAATAATCAATCCATATAATTGCCTACATGGGATTATCCGAAATTACAGTATACAGGCGTCGTTCGTTGAGAAACTGATTCGACTACCGACGTAGACTGCACGACTGCATAAAATCAAAAATTGCCCTGTTCACAGCGACGACTAAGTTAATAATAATAATTATAATTTTATACGAATATTTCCTTATGGCGATGAAGACATGTGGAGACTTGACACGTCTCCAAATATCGCAAAAATAACGTCCGGTCTCAATGACTTTTCAACAGGGCAGGCGCCGGCGTATTTCGAATATGTATGCTGTTCCTCGAAAACCTTCGGGTGACGTGCAATTTAACCCATGGGAAAAGGGTTTACACGGAAATTAAAAAGTCTTGAATCACGCGACGTCTGACAATACCCGCTGCTTTAGATATAGGTTCGCGAAAAACGATTACCATTAAGTTTTTACAAATCTGCGAAAAATCTAATATCATTGAAACTTGGCTCTTCACTGTACTCATTGTTGCCGAAAGGAGAGTCGACAGATAACGCCACTAAGTCTTGCCAATGAAAAGCTAGTTAAACTAAAAGGATCTACTCGCGAGTTAAAATTAATAAACGTAGTGGAGGATCAGAGGACAATAGTTCAGCGTTATGATCAACTTCTGCAAAGCACATTCGCACTTTGGACACACAAAACAACTTCGGGTTCAGCACGACATTAATCTCCATTAGCGAATTCAGGTAATTTAAAGGTCAACGACTGAGGATGGTTAAATCTGTTTGCTGCACAACTACGTATCACTTAGTCAATGCCTGCAATTATTGACAAAGACTTGCTACCACTGATATTATTGGTATCATTCGATAGAACAGCAGACATACTAATCGCAGTGACTGTTGCACCCTTTGCTCAGAGCTAAACAGGAAATAATGGAATAGTTCCCGACGTTTCTATGCTAATATCACAATTTTGTATGCAGATCAAGTGGGCGTTTGACTCTCACTGTTGTGGTTAAGATCTCACTTGATCCTTTTCAGTCCGCCCGCCAGGTTTTCAATGGCGACAACGAACGCTGTGTCATAGGACACATACCACATATAATACATAGGCAGCTCGCTCCACTGGACCTGTGTTTCCCTCTACGTCCTTCTTGCAAAAAGGCTGTAAGTGATTTGCACTTTTTTACAACTTTTAACTCTGCCGCATGACCCACAGACAAGATCAGAGGTTAAACTAGATAGAAGCGACGCCGCCATACATCATAAATCAGGCGACGTAAGCATGTGTGTCATATCAGACTGTCTATGCAGCAGGTGTCGCTTATTGGAGGCTTTTGTTATCCACGAAGGCGAATCGGCGTGTTGTGGTTTTTTCCAGTTGTGGAGCCAACTGGCGCGAACTGATTCATCTCGATTGTCTGAAAAAGTTGGCAGAGTTCAGCCCCCGTTTTTGATGATGGCCACCGTGTACTCCACCGCAGGGCGACAGCAGAGACACTAACTTGCCCGTCACTTCTTTTGTAGTGAGAGTGGACTTACTCTTCCTCCAAACCACTCTCTCCTTCTCTTTCAGCACAATGTGCCTTCAGAAAAGAGCCAAGAATGTGGGAGGGGGGGGGGAAACGGGAGAGAACATAGGTGGCTGTCATGGCGAATGAACCCGCACCTAGGCGTGCCACCACACGCCCTGGTCCTCAACGGACACTCATGGGGAATTTACCCGCCAAGGTTGTGGGGGATAACTGGGAACCCAGTGTTGGCCTTTGTTACAAGTGCGTACTTCCAGCAACCCCTGTCGGACTCTAATCTAGCCCGTTTGCTCGTCTAGCGTATTTAACACGAGGCCCATTTTAGGGGCACATTTAACATTATCCTATATCCTCCTGTTGACGAACCTATGCGACTGCTCGACTGTCGATTCCGACGATGTCCACCGTGCTTCACAGAGCAAGGTGCAACAGCCACGGTGACTTATACGTGAATTAGACTTGCACAGAATCTATCGCACTCTCTCTCTCTCTCACCCAACATCTACGCCGGTCTCAAGGCAAAGTAAAGAAAACCGGAGGCGGAGGAGGGTGCAGACAAACGTATGCACTCGTATGGGCGGAATCAGAGAACATGTGTTTTGGGAATGACAAGATACTGTGGGCGCTTTGATTAGACTTTTGTGGAGAATTCCTCTGACCTCCAGAAAGCATTATCACAGTTAAATATCAGGAGAAATAGCGGACAGATCTTTCGCAGCAGCAGAAATATGCTCATTTAGGATTCATCGCGTTTTCAAACATGATATCCTCCCCTGCTCAAATGCTTTATATTTCTGCTTAAGGGGGTTTCAGCATGTCATTTGCGTTTTTTGAGTAAGCAATGCCATTGCGCGAATGTACTGGCTATTCAAAAATTGACCGTCTGTGTATATGAAAATTTAAGTTCTAGCAGATTTAATGGTAGCTAAATGATTGGTAATTTACATGTGGTCTTTATAAAATACTTCCGTGCGTATAACTCAGGAAAATTTTATGAATATATATTGAAATTAATTTAGGCATTAGGTTTGGGATCAAAGTCTTAGCATAAGTTAATGTCAGGCACAGAGTAAAGTGCAACAGTCGGGCCGGAATTCCGTTTGCCTTCGCCCGTAGTGACTTTAGACTGGCGCGTCACTGAGATGAGCAGTGAGGATATTCCTCTCTGGTTGGCAAGGCCCTTTTGCATCCAGATTCTTTTGCGGGCTTTGCCGCACACCAGTCTTTGATGACAATGATCTAATCCGTCTTTAGCTGCACCGGAGTTTCGTTTGCCAGTTGTGACTTTAGACTGGCGCGTCACCGACTTAAACGGCACGTGATTGTTAAGACTATGAGGGCTTTGTCGAGGACAACATTTGACTAGAACTCCAAATATTGCAGTGACGGTTTTGAATTTCCTTTGAACCCTTTGTTCCTCCCTCAGCAGCGAATAGTTGTTCGATGCGACACGAGCAGTGAGGAGACTTGATGTTAAAGGAGAGAGTTATCCTTCGCAACATACTTTCTTGCTGTTTTATCGGCAAGTTGGATATGTTGTTCAACTAAGAGACCACACAGCATGACTTTACCTGGCATCTAAAGTGGGGACGCATCAGTTTGGCAGTTTCACATTACTGATCGAATTCCCTTTGAAGAGACCTAGTAAAAGTGGATACTGACAAATCATTTGTTGATCTGACCTGCTTCGTCGAACAACTTGCGTTCACGGCAGACTTCCAAAGTAAACGTCATTACTGATTGAATGGCGTGAGAAGATTTGAGCTTGTGACAGCTGTTGCCTCAGCCTTTCTCGCTCCAACAAAATATAGCGTCTAAATTCAAATCACACACAGGCCTACCCTCTGACCGAAAACTAATCAGCCTTCGGAGTTGTGTCTGTCTGTTACCTTGTCTAAGTCCACTCGAGAAAACGTTCAATGGGCAAATAGTCCCACGTCAAGCCAATAGACCAGACTGCCAAAACTAGTACATGACTAACTAAAAATAAAGTAGGGGTCATTATAGTTTGCCCTGTTTTTATCGCTTACTTTGATTAAATCAGTCAAAATGTCGATATACTTTGCCGTTACCAAATACAATTAAATCTCAGTGGCATGCCCATCAACAGCATCAAGCCTTTCTGAAGCTGCTAGTTCACGGAACTGCAAAAGGCGGAGTTCGAATGCACATCACAAACCCACATGCGGACTTGAAGTATCACAATGCAGTTTATCTAGTGTTATCCGTGTTGGTCGAAATATTGGTTTGTGTAAGTCTTGCACATGAGAAAAACCATCTAACTACAGATACACTTACAGTTAACTTCAGGGGCATATATTCCCGTGTTCAGAACATAGCCCATTCTCGGAATTAGTGCATAGTTGCCTGTAATTCAGGGAAGTCTCCAATCGTGCGCCCCGCATTTAAGTCCGGCAATGAACCAAGGCTACGGTGAAGACGTCATTTAACGATGCCTGCTGACTCTTGAACAGAATTTGGCATATACCCGTTGCGTGCTACCTCCAGGGCTGTACGGGGCTAGGAGGCAGTATGCTGGCATAGTATGCTTTATTATCGGTCTGGAGTCAAGGTTGCTCGCCCCCATGATATGGCGTTGTCAATGCTAGATCTGCGTTTCCAGTAGGTCATTGAACATTTCGCACAAGGAAGACGAATAAATTACAGGTACATCATCCGCAGACCAGTTTGCGTTCTGGTATAACTAGACGTGCCCCGTAAATCGGCAGAATAAATGCAATATTCGAATCAAAAATGTATTCTCATACAAACAAAATATTGTGTTGCAAACGATAATTTTTTACACGGTTAAACGTAAACCAGCCGAAAGGCAATACCGGCGAGCATAACCCACCACAGGGGTTTTATATGGCCCACGCTGTTGAAACCAGAGATAGAGTAGCCACGGTAGAATGCTCCATATTCATATTCGGGCAAGAAGTTGAATACCTCGCTTGTATTATCGGCATACTTTACCGCGAATGACATTTTCTTGTTTTCGATGTAACCGGTGATGAACATAATGTTGGTAGGCCGTGGATTGGTCAAGTCTGTGGGAAGTTAAAAACTGTCGGAAAGTTGGAAACGTCAAATTTGTTTACCTTAAGTGAAACAAATATTTATATATCTATATTCTTAATGTAAATTTTTAATTATATGACTGAAGCCAATTATGAATGTAACGCATTAGGTAAAAAAGGGTAGTGTGGCAACTGTTATGCCGTTTACAAAGACATACAGAGTGGGCTGTATACACCCAGAGATGGTGGTTGGTAGCTATCTCTTGCCAATTCGGCGCCTCCAGAGACTTCGATTTGCTTAAGAATTTTAAGAAATTGAAGGATTTATGATATAAGACGGCTCTTTTATAAGGACAAATAAGTACAATTTTAAGTAATTTTATCGTACCTGAACGTCATTATTAAAAATAATGAGATAGGAAAACGAATAACCGCGTTCAACCTCCACAGTTTTCATAACGACCGCGCCACTCGGGAGTGCTGGTTCTGACACAAGGATATTTTAAAAAAGTGCAATCATAGAACGAGGCAAAATGCTCAATAAATCAGACAAATTTGGTAACTTTAGTATATCGCAACAACAGCTAAACTTTAAAACTTGATATTGGAATTTAGAAAGAAATGATATTTTAACTGTTTTTAGAACAGTGATATCGGAGTGCAAACAATCATAGAGATGGTTATGTGAGTGCTGACAAATGCTAATGGGCACACGATTAATACACAGTTAGTCATTTTAAATCTGAAATTTAGTTGATGAAATACTGCCGAACGTTTTAGTGAGATGCACAGTAATCTTCGGACTAATTAAAATAAAGAACTCTCCTGTCTCCTATCATGGGTTGAAAATTTCTCCAGTGCATGGGACAATGAAAAACCTTGGTATTTAACTACCCCCTTTCGCTGACGTAAGCATTATACAATGTAATCCAACCCACCTTGTTTGGGAAGGCCCTTTGCAGTTATGACAAAGGCTTGTGGGTTTTTGCTGTTACGAACGTAGAACGTTACTGCAGATACGGCTTCGGAGATCTTTCCGTGTACAATAGCGCCTCTTTTTGCTAAAAACAGAAGGGAAATGTAAAACTACCAATTCATGTATATGTAAGTTTGCATGTTTTCCGAAAGCATACCGTTAAATGTCTGGAAGCAGAAATCCCGCGACTTGCAATTATCACGTTTGATTGCAGAAGACGAGCTTATAACCTAAAACAGTGGTTTTTAAACTTGAGTCTCAGTAATTAGGCCACAAAATAACAGGCGTAATAAATACGGGCGATAGTTTTTTCGAATTGGTGATTTAGCTTTTGCGCAATTTGGTAGCCGTCATTGAATTGATACAGCACTAAAAGTGAAAACGTACCTCACTGACCGGAGGTCTGAATTCAAACCGGTAAAAGCTCGTTGTATCCCCAACTTTATAATTAACTGCAAAGCAGCTCCCTGAAAGGCGGCATTATCCATTTGTAATGCACAACATAAAGTGTGGCGGGCAGGCATACACAAAGGATAACCAAGCAAAGATAAGGTGATTTAGTCAAATAAATTTCATGCACAGTTAGATTTGTTTGATATATTGTAAAAGACATAAACACACGCTATTATGCCAGGTTTTCTCTCCATATTGAGCAGATTTTTATTGCGTTGAGACTAATAAGCGCTGAGCTACGCAGGTTTATTTAGGAAATCAGAAAACCTCGCCAGCATGACTTCTTTGTTTGGTATTTGCAAAATGGCGTGAGATTATTGTCGAATGCATTCATAGGAAACGATATTTAGAGTAAATACATATGGGCGCAAGTTTGCTCACCGATCAGAAGCAGTATGCATATAAACTTCATCGGAAACCTGTATGTGTAAATAAAATTACAAATGCTTACAGCGAGAGTAAAGTTATTTTTATGTAGAAAAGTCGACTTTACGATTGAAAACAAAGATCTGGTCATTTATCAAACTTCCGATAGTATTCAGGAATTCTAACTCAAATTATGGACAAAAATAACCAAGGAAACCACATAAAAAATTTACCTTATCTAACTGGAGCTGAATTTGACTGCAACAACTGCTCTATTTATAGTAGAATCGAAGATGTTCTCGAACTACATCAGCCAATAATAAGTAAGAACGTTGCAAATGTCTGTCAGAAGTTCAGTTTAGATCGATGACACGCATGACAAATGAAAGCATCCACACCGCCAGGTGAAATTCAGAACGCAGTGTTGGGTGTGCTAAGCTAATTCTTAGTGTCGAAGTAAAAAGGACATTTACAGTTGCTAATGTTTCTGACTCTGTTTACATGAGAAATGATGTCACTTATTTCGTCCTCATCGTTTCATCCGAACCGCGCCTAATAGTATGAAAACTCGTACCACTTTAGCAGTCATGTCTTTACTGAATATGATTTTTGCAGACGACCGAAAAGAAGTTCAATCGAAAAGCTGACAATCTGTTTGAGTCAAAAAGGCATTTTAACTAGCATTTCATGAGTTAGCATATCTACAGTGGGTGCTTCATATCCCAGAGACATAAAACAGGATATGGACAGATTAAATGACCCTCACACTGCCTCGAGGGTTGGTTACGCAGAGGACTCACACTCAATGCTCAATTCAAAACACATATTTAGACATGTGATTAATCGGATATCACGACGCGAGTTGCACGTTGAAGCTACCGTTGCAGTCATTCGAATGACAAGAATCGTTCCAATCTGCTTGAGATAGATGAGGTTAGGTGCAGAAATTCCGCGAATGAAGGCAATATCGTGTGCAATTCAACTTCCATGGCACCTACCTTGGTTCAGAGCGTAGGAAATTCCCGCGTATTAGAAGAAAAATTGGCGAGCATTTAATTTCTTTAAATGAATTTCCGCCAGAGCAGTACACTTATACTACATGGAGTAGAAATCAAACATGTGAATGCTAAGGGAGGTCTATTTGACGCTTGTTATAGTAAAAAAGACACCCTACAAAATTTCTGCAATCCCCTTAACGCAGTCTTTCTTAATATAAAATTCACAAAGGAAGAAAGACCGGGACAGCATTTGTTCTGTCCTGATGGGCGTGTCAGAGGAAACTTTAGGGGCGAACTTGAAAGGACGGTTTATAAGAAGGCATCGATCGACCACAGCACAGCTTATTTTCTCGGTGGCTCACAAACGATGTTGTATGAACACGCTCTTCAAATCCATTCAAACTCACCGCTGCAAATCGGAGGGAAGAACACGTTAAGACCGTTATTTTCGAAGGCATTTATGAGTCGCCGCCTGAGTGTTTACACACAGAGGACCTAAACATCAACACCAACAAGGAAGTGACATTATCTGCCAGAAATTAAGGACATTTTAGAAACGATCTGGCGCATTGCTGCGGACCTAGGTGTTGGAATTGCACACGGACCTAAAGTCCTGATGCATAAAAATCAAAGAAGTGTTGATTCGCGACGAGCAATCTAAAGTAGTATATCGCGTCCTGTGCAAACACTGTATATGTAGGTACACAGGCCAGACTTGAAGCATGCCTTGAGTCTGCATGCCCGACGACGTGTGCTACACGGCAAGCGGAAACAGGTGCGGTCGCAACCGACCGTGGTTTGATGGTTAGGCACATTGGACTTCCAACCAACAGGTTGCGGTATCTAATCCCAGGCTTTACACACCTTGGTATCGGGTAGGACAGGCCGAAGACGGCTAACAAGCCACAACTGACCATCCCAGTCCCGCTTGTCTTTGTCGATAATGCTATTCTGTCTATTTCATGCGCCACTGTGCGGCTGGTGCCGGGATCGAGAGAGGGAGATAACCCTAAGGAACAAAGGGACGAGGGCTTTCCATAGCGTGATCGATGCGCGCCCGTCTACCATTTGCGCGGGAATTAGCTAAGAGAGTGAGTAGAATTACAAAGCGTATACCGCACTCTCCTCCTTACCATCTGGGCCCTGCGTCAAGACATATTTAAGAAGACCCAAGGTGCGAGAGGGCGCAGGTGGTTGGCACGGCCGGACACACAGCAAAGCCTACCAACATACTTCTAATTCACAACAATACTTGGACAGTGTTTTTACCAACAACGGCACGAGAACTGGTCCGAAAGATGAGAATGACTGGACAGCCATGCATACAACGTGTATACTCGGCGGGAACACAGCCGCATCTACCGGCAAGGAACGAGGTGCCAGAGAAGAGTCAGCGCACACCCGGCTGCGAGAGCCAATGTTTGCTGAATAATGGCATGGCAGACGCTCACAGACCTTTGGGCGCTAACATGAAACATAAGCTGGCTGTGCGAAGAGACGATGAATTATCACAAGTCGCTGTCTACTACTACGAAATAGACTGGGTTTAAGTCAGAACCCAGTGAGAAAATCGCTCACTCCGAAACCTGGGCCTCTGATGAGAACTCAGTCAGTAGATTTGTAGATCTGGCGCCGGCATACAGAGTCCTGCGCTGTCGCGTCCAGGCATTCGTCGTTGGTTGCTCATTAGCTAGCATGCCCTATAGTTTTGCTTATTTTGTTGTCGCCATTGTAATGGCGCAGAACGCTTTCTGATGCTCTGTATGTAACCTTTTTTCTCTCAATCCCTTTGATAGAACACGGAATTATGTCGAGTGCCTGACGGATAGGTCGAGAATTCCCTGTGTCAACTGCATGCTTTAGAACATGAGTATGTCCTGAAGACCTGTTGTTTACGTCAAATTGGATAAAACAATCCTCAGGAAGCTAAATAAGCGTTTGCTGTACAGAAGCACTGAAAAATAAAGAAAATCCCGCCCCAGTCCGTCAGTAATCATCTCTGCAAAACACCCCAATATCACCTAGGCAGATTCTAAGGGGAGATAATGCAATGGATTCGTGATAGCGTCTCAAACCTGCTATCGCGTCCCACTGTAAACGTAAACATACAAATGTGTTAGTTGTGGCGAAATGGCCAACGGTCACAGCACAGTAGGTTTGCTCTTCGGGGTGGATAACAAAGCCGTTAGCTGTCGAAAGCTATATCGTTTTTGTAGGTCTACGATTAGCAAGAAGCTGCAGAGCAAGATATCCCAGTATCCGACAAGAACGACCTGCTTTGGTCGTTAATGGTTCCAGGAATAGTTAGAGATGGGCAACCGTTGCGAGAAAACACGGCCAAAGACGGGAGACTAGCAGTGGTAACACGGACCTACCAGAAAGCGGCCGACGGCAAATAGGGCGGTTGGGTCCACAACGCTTAGCGCGCCTGCTGAATCGGCGGCAATAAGGATAGCTTGTAGGTGAGGTCTGACGGCGACGGACTTTGGAAGGTTGCAGTCAAGAGGTCGACGGAGTTGGATCCGACAGCGAAAAGATCTTGGGCGGAAGCGAATTGCTTTGAGTCACATTTGCAGCTTCGTACCCGCGGGCCATCTCCAGCCTCTTCTTCGACGAAGTGCACTGTATACGAATAACCTTCGAGTACAATTCTGTGTTGCGAACGCCTAGCGTACATCTTTTGAGGAGTTCGGCCCCAAGACGGGTGGGGGATTCATCGGGAAGGGCTTCCAGCGCCAGCTCTTGCAAGGCTTCGACGTAGGCATCGGCCGACACTGTCGCTAGTTGCCGTCGAATATACAACGCCTCTAATGCCAAAGCAGGCGACTGCCGGTGGACAAGGAGGTCTCTCAGAGTACTGATTAGTTTGGCGACGGGTGCATCCAGCAATATGTCCGTGGCCATTAGTTGTCGTAGGGGTAACAATCGGAGATGGCAGCCAAAAAAATCCGCCTAACCAAAACAGCCTGTCTTACGGGACAGATGGTAATAGGGGTTTTATGGTTGATGGCTGATGGGGACGTAAGCTACTAGCCGACAGAAAGCCTTATTTGAACAGGTGAATGAGGGAAGTTGGTTCGCTCTCCGTTCCGTTATTACAAAATGGGTCGTCAAAGGCAGTATATTGGTAACGGACGAGTGGAAGGCGTATAATCGTCTTCCCTCAGAAGGCTATCTACATTTCTATGTTAAACACTCAAAGAACTTCAAGGACCCTATCACAGGACGGCACACCAATGCCATTGAGGCATACTGGAGTAAACTGAAAAGGAAACTCCACAAGGAAGTCCCAGTATATGGTCGAGCTGTGTGGGCCCACAGAGACAAAGTACAGTATCGCCTTTGGTTTGGCCTCAATGCCGTGTCTTTGACAGATGCCTGGGAACTGTTCCTGTCCCATGTTGTGCAGACTTATCCTATTTAAAAATGATTTTGTTTTGCAATGAACTTCCATAATGCGAATGTATGCCGTATATTCAGGTGTGTGTGTGTGCAACGATGGGGAAGGATGGGTAATAACGACCATCGTCCATGTAACCTCCTGCGATGTTCGTTCGGCCAGCCCATATTAGGCCGTCGAGGGAAGTGCAAGTAGTGCGTGAAAGTAGGCCTACAACCGCTGATATATCCTGAAGGCGTTTGAGTCCACTCTCAAAGGTATTATTTCTAGGTAACGGATTTTTTGGGTGCCGTCTCCCGATTGTTACCTACACGGCATCTCTGATTTCTACTCAAATATTTAAACGTTTACTCCGATACAACTACTTAGGGCTATATTCCACCTGAGCAAAGGACATTTTCCGAAACGGACTGGTGCGTATGCAAACCGCGCTGCGTTTCAAAAGCATCAGAATGGCAATCAAATGTTCATCGTCACGGACAGTAGAAGGAGCGGCCATTCTACACCAGCGTTCATTTCGGTTTTGAAAGAAATGTTGCATTTCGAATTTTTCTTTTTTTATTGTTCGCTAAGATAATTTTTTTGAAAATCTCCAGTTTCTTGATCCAGATCTGCGAACCAAAAACAGATTTCAGTTGGCCAACGGTGTCAGTCGTAGCATATCCTCTGTCCTAATGAGAAATTAGATTCACAGTGTAGCGGTCGAGGACGTCCAAGATGGCACACACCGAGGCAAAGAAGCACAGGGAAGAGGTCCTGAATATGATCGATCTGAATAGAGCTGTTTACATGTTGCAATACTCATCCACACGCAGAGGAAGAAGAAGAAACGTTGGATAGGCGATAACGTATGATGCGAAGAGATGGAAACTAGAAATGCATATAATAGTAGTTAATTGTACAGACGGGACGAGTTACAAGGGAGTGACCTGTCTGGGTGGTGAGGCGACACCGACATGCCAGCTAAGCAACCGGTGGGGAATACAGCGCTGTGGGCAACTGCAGGGGAGGGTCGAGGGGGGTGTCGACGTTGAGAGGGAGAAAGAGCGTACGATGCGAACGTTGCGGATTTGTTTTGGGTGCCATCTCCCGATTGTTACCGTCGTACGACCGAGACTTAATAGGAGCCGGCGTATGTGGAGGAAGTTTTCGGCGCGGAAGGCCCATATGGAGTAGTCGTCTTTGGGTAGAAATTGTTGGGGGGACGGAGGGCGAGGCGGCTACGTCTGACTTGATTTTGCTCTTTGGGCACATACACGATGTATTAATGGACGGATCCGAGGCCTCAAGTTGACAAACAGGGAGTTCAGACTGGGGATGCTGGTAGTTATGCTCATTCTTGGATGTCGACGTCCCACCTCTGACACCTATTTGTAACTTTGGATGGGATGGTGGGGGAACGAACGTCTGAGCGGGAAATTAAAGATCGGTCGGGATCAACGACAACAAACGGTCATCAGGCAGAGGAGCACAGCGAGTGATGAGAAGGAAACAAGTTAGCTGACACGCGTTTATTGCTAATCGCATTTTCACAGACCCTGCGCAAAAGTACCCGACCAGTTCAAACTTCTGGTTCGTCCGGTTCAGCATTAGTATAATACGCAAGGGCGTTTACTAATGGCTTCCTTAAAAAAGAGAGAGAAGGGGTACATGCTGAGCATTAGAAAACTTTCTGCGCAGTTATACTACTACAGTACGTGACCTATCTCATGAAATCTGGTAACGAAAACTGATGTAAGAATTTCTGGACGTCTTTAAATTTGCGAATGTTGTTCGCTCATCCACATCCTTCAATGAAATATCTTTATCTTGTGTATAAATTGTGTTTACATAATTATATCAAGTAAAATGTCAGCATATCTTTGCGAAGATGGAAGTTGAAATATGTTAGTGCAATTTTCTATGTTAATACATATCATAGTGTCCGATTACGTATCTGAGCGACTTTTCAATTGAAAGGATAGTAAGTTGCCCGCAAGAGATTCAATAAACAGATTTAGCCGGACCTGAGAATATATTTTTTGTCTGACGCTATCCATGGTAATCAACTTGCAAACATAAAGATTACTTTTACGAAAAAGCGATTTCATCAATTCATAAAAGTCATCTTAGCAGATCTGCGCGATTTGGTTCCCTAAATTGCAGTAATAACGCGGATAGGAATTCCTTCGTTTATGTAGGCTGAAATTCCGCCTGATGTCACACAAATGACCACCACCGAATGATCATTCCGAGTTTTGAGCATATGAACCAATACCTGTCGTTTAGTTTGGTTTCTGTGCACACCTTATTTAGAACTATAACGAGCAAGACCTTAATAGGCAGAATGGTATTACCGACAAAGACAAGGGAGACTGGAATGGCCATTTCTGGCTTATTAGCCGTCGTCAGCCAGCCATACCCAAGCCCGAAGTGTGGAACACCCGCGCCTCGAACTCGCGACCTGTTGGTTTAGAAGTCCACGCCTCTATCCACCGGGCCGGGTGTTCCACACTTCGGGCTTGGGTATGGCTGGCTGACGACGGCTAATAAGCCAGAAATGGCCATTCCAGTCTCCCTTGTCTTTGTCTGTAATGCCATTCTGCCTATGTATCATGCGCCGCTGTGCGGCTGCTGGTTGGGCTCGATAGAGAGCCCGTAAGGCACAACGGAACGAGTGAGTTCCGTACGAACGATCGGTGAGCGCCCCCTACCATTGTATATTCCCGATCAAAAACCGACAGGGCAACGGGCTCGTGGCCCGGTGGATAGAGGCGTGGACTTCTAAACCAACAGGTCGCGAGTTCGAGACTCGGGTGTTCCACACTTCGGGCTTGGGTATGGATGGCTGACGAAGGCTAATAAGCCAGAAATGGCCATTCCAGTCTCCCTTGTCTTTGTCGGTAATGCCATTCTGCCTATGTATCATGCGCCGCTGTGCGGCTGCTGGTTGGGCTCGAGAGAGAGCCCGTAAGGCACAACGGAACGAGTGGGTTCCGTATGAACGATCGGTGAATACCTTGATAGTTTCAGCAAAATATCAGTATTTATACGGGCGCTCTGCTATGCATTCGTAATCGAAGAACGGAGTCGTAATGCGATCAAAAACAGTGCAACTGGCCTTATGTATGGAGGAAGGCATGTTCTTACGTTTACGGTCAAAAAGCATGTATTGTTTAGGGACGTGATAGAAAGGGCCAAAAATGCCCAATGTTTACCTGGCCTCACCGTGCAAAAATGCAAAGCACACAGAGATCCGTCAAAGGAGAGCAATAAGAAAGCATTTTTTAAAGAGATAACTTTTAAGGAAAGTTTTCTTGTTGAACGAAGGCATATACGCTGCTGACTTTCGTTGTGGACAGCCATTTTTCTCGAAAATAAAGTTTGCTGTTTAAATGGGCCTTCATATGTGACTCAAACGACCATCTTCGCAAACAGCAGCACCCGAAAACTCATTATTCCGAAAAATTCCTTTAAGAATAATCTGATTTGAAATTTCTCAACGGACAGATAATTCACAATCTGTCTTTACGGACGATCGGACCCATGTTTCCTTCAATGCCCTTCTTACAATATTCTGTAAGTGCTTTGCATTTTTTACAACTTTTAGCGCAGACGCATGACCAACAGACAGATTAACTGACATGAGTCAGGATCAGAGGTTAGTCTAGGCAGAGGCGACGTGTGCATGTGTGTCATATCAGACTATCCAGGCGGCAGATGTCGCTTATTGGAGGGTTTTGTTACCCACGAAGGCGAATTGGCATGTTGTGGTTTCTTCCAGTTCTGGAAGCAACTGCCTGCCAAAGTTGGTAAAGTTCAGCCACTGCTTTCGGCGATATCCACCGTGTACTCCATGACAGGGTGAAGGCAGGGACGGCAAGTTGTCCGTGATTTCTTTTGTAGTGATAGTAGACTTGAGCTGCACCAAACTCTCTCTCTCTCTCTCTACATCTCTCCCATCTAAATCTACCTTCAGAAAATAGCCAAGAAGTTGGGGGGGGGGTAGGATCGGGAGAGAACGCCGGTGGCTGTCATGACAAATGAGCCGGCACCTAATCGTGCCACCCCACCCCCTGGTCCTCAATGGCCACTCATCGGGAATTTCTCGCCAAGGAATTGCTGAACGACCCGGAACCCAGTCTTGGCCTTTGTTGCAAGTGCGCACTCCCGACAACGGCTGTCCGACTGTAATCTAGTCCGTTTGCTGATCCAGCGCATTTAACACGTTGCCCAGTTTAGGGGCACAAGTAACATTATACTATAGCCGCTATGCGCGAAGTTACTGGTTATTCAAAAATGTACCGTCTGTGTATATGAAAGGTTAAATGCTTACATAATTGATGGTGGCTAAATGTTTGGTAATTTACAAGTGGTCTTTGTAAAGTACATTTGTGGTTATAACCCAGGGAAAGTTTATGGATATATACTGAATTTTATTTAGACATTAGGCATTGGATCTGGCTTGGAATCAAATTCATATCATAAGTTAATGCTAAGTTTATATTTAGATTTAGGATTAGGA